AAATGCTGTTGCTTGACAGTATAGAGACAATCTACTACTAAAATAAGGGGATAGGTCTTTCCAATACAGTCTCCTAGACTGACAGGCATAGAGAAACAGGCAATAATTAATTATAAGATATTGAACACTCCTACACTATGCAGTGGTGCTATCCAAGATACGCAGTCAAGGAATGTGGTAATGGACATACTGAATGTTTGGGCAACGCAGGGCAAAGCAGGAATACAGATGACGCTTCCTAAAGCTACACATGAGATTCCTATTCTTCCTATCAGCCTGCAACTCAACGATGCGACGTAGCTCAAAGGATGTTCCCCTCCTCACTCCTTCCCACCCTTGTTTTCCTTCCTTCCTTTCTTTTGGCCATGATAGGTTTGAACTCAAGCCCTCACCCTGACTGAGTAACTTGAGCTACACTTGAGGGAGAGTGATGAAAGGAGCTTTGCATGCATACAAAGATATGTCCAAATGAGCCTTTCTTGTACAACTAATGGTGAGGGTATCTTTAAGTAAGGCCAAATCCTGAGGAAGTCAGGCGTCATCATGTCTGCCTAGCTATAAATCAGAATGCATGCAGGTACTAGGCTAGATGACTTATTTTGTCACATGGGCTAACTAGCACCTCAAAACTGATTCGCTGGGCTTCCCTATTCTGATATATAGTATTAAAGTAAGGACTCATTTACACTCATCTTAAAAAAGATGATTGGGCATTTTCACCTGCCATTTTCTCAGTGGCTCAGTCTGAGCCACTTCCAAGCTTTCACTCGTGATGCCCCCCCCCACCTCCAACCCTCCAGTTTTACCCCAAAGAAATAGGACTCTCTGTCACCTAGAAAAACAGACACAAGAACTAGTGAAACTAGACTTGAACTGAAGGACAATTCAACTGACCCTGGTCTCTTGTGCAAAGAGCTCCAGAACACTGTCAGTACATTAGGAAGAACTGATGCTGATATGGACATCTGTAAAAAGACAGGAAGAGGTAATTGCGAGTTATCAAGAGCTGGGGAAACAGGAGTTACCACATAATTAGCATTGTTTCTATCTGAGTTGCCATTTCTTCACCTCAAAATAACTGACAGCCAGTATACAATTAACTCTCCTTACTACAGAACATAAATCAAAACAGCAGCAAAATCAGAGTAACTCTAAACCATCTAATGCAATGCAAAACCACTTACAAGTACAATTGCTAGGGGTATCAGCTGGCTTTCTATGTTTCACAACTTTCAGGATAATGTCCAAAAACACCCAAACTTTAAGAAACAAATTCACTGATACCCTAGGATTAAAAAGCCAACTCAGTTCCAAGACTCCAAATTCACTTAGATTTGCAGACTCTTTCCCTATACACAAGTAGGGGATGACATAGAAGTCTATGGCTTTTCCCTGTGCTCAAGTCCCCTCCTACCTATCCACCCCCTTTCAAAGATTAGCAAAGAGCCTTCAGTTTCCCAAGTACCTGATGGAAATTTCAGCCTACAGAATATTTTCATACTCGAGTTAGAATAAACCACTAAAATGAGGATGAATAGTGGATAACTTAATAATCCACTGGACAGAGAATAAACACACAAAGTTGAGTCCAAGTATTTAACCTGAGCCAAAGCCAAATAGATAGACAGATGCACACATATATTCCTTTGAGCTATTCTTTAGAACAGAGGGTGCAGTCTATTATTTGCCTACTCCGAGCTGCTCACTTGAGTCATTTCCTTGCTAAGACTTTCTATTTGTATTCAAGTCAGAACTCAGTATTTAAAAGCAGGCCCCATTGCATCCCTTTTGTTACCTTGCCCAAATCACTCTATTCAAGTTGGTTCTGACAATCCACCTACAGGTGTTATTACAGTACTACAATCTAAAACAGATAACATATCATCAGTTTCTGATTCTTGTCTTTCCCTGAAGCTAAAAGATTTTTGTTTTGTTTTGTTAATTTAACATTTCTAAGACTTGGACTTACTACAAATAACTCAAGCAACCAATCACTTTTATATGATTTAAAAGAAGAAAAAAAGCATACAATATCCCTTTCTTTGGCCCACCATGATAATGGCTCAAGAGAGCCAAATGAAGCAATGTAGATTAGGTCTCTCAAGTGGACAGTCTGGTCAAGGTGAAGCTGAAAAGGAACAGACTATTAGAGATGGATGCCCCCAACAAAAGGAAAGCAGGTTACCTCCCTTGGTAAAATGCCAACTCAAAGATTCCAACATAGTGGAAATGTGTCCCATAATGGTCATTACCTAATGTAATCCATTGAGTAAACTTTTAGCACCAGCCTACATCTTAGCTTAGTGTTTCCAGTCATCAGGAAGAGCAGACAATAGTAGCACAACTGCAACATCAATTCTGCCTTCCACAAAAACCAACTTGAAACAGATATTGATGGCCATAAACGGGAGCATATTAATAACACTTCAACCTTAAATTCACACAGAAATGCAAGACTCATATAGTAGAACACGTTCCAAATAGTTATTATACAATGCTTTAAGGAAAAAAAGTGTGTACTCAACAGGACATCCTACTGAATTTCAAATACATAGCTCAAAGATTTACCTGTGAGAAAAGACCCAGGTGACCAACCACTCCTGTTTCTTCTCCCACTCAAGGAGGATGACTTAAAAAAAAAAAAAATACATACACACACACACATACACACACATTTAATAGTCCAACCATATCTGTGAAAAGACTTTTGGGAAGGCAATACATTTAACCCAAAAGGACCTTCACTTTCTGTATCTTTTTCCTTCTTGCTCTTCTTTGATGGAGTCTCACTTCCACTTCTCTCACTCCGACTCTTTTTATACAATCTTTTCCTTACTAAGCCCTGATGACTACTGCATACCAGCACCACCAATACCAGCACCAGCACCCACCCAACCATTTCTTCCCAGTCCCTGGAACCTGCCAAGCTCATACCAGCTAGTTTCTGCACTAGCTGTTTCCTGTACCTGGAAGATTCCTCTCTTCATCTTTGCATGGATGGCTCTTTTTTATTTAAAGCTCAGTTTAAGTTTTAACTCTTCAACAAGGTCACCCTTGCCCTCATCCCAGGCAGATTCTTTCTACCACATCACTTATTTTCTTCAGCATTTAATCAAAATCAGGATTACTTGCTCAGCTGTCCCTCCTTCAACATAAACTGCAAATGAGAGTATACCTTTTACTTGTGTTCATCTGTATACACTCAGTACCTACAACACTGGGTGGCACTAAATAGCTGGTGAATCTATGTCCAGTGAATGAATTTTGGATTTTTTTATTCAATGGAAAACTAGATTCCAAAAGAATTAAAGTGAGCACAGTAGTCACTCTTGTATTTCTGTGTAACACTTAAACATAATTACTTGTACAATTAAGGCAAGAAACACTCTGTTTTACTATCCCTGAAAGCCCTGATAAATAAAATGGGACTCTCTTCCCAGCATCAGAAGAACATCTGTTATGATAATTCTTCTAGCAATAATGTGTATCAAGCTCAGTTACAGAAGGACAAGACTTATGCACACTTTTAAATCAAAGAACCCCTAAGATTTAGGAACTGTCTCTATTAAGGAACTATTAAAGGAACTCTATTAAGAAACTACTAAAGTACCTTAGAAGACAGTTTCAGACTCAAAAAATTTCTTAAAAATGTGTAAACACTAAAATATGCTGTTTGCTTTTTAACAACAGAATATCCACAAACATCTTTTTTCTCTAATCCTTCTTTGCTTTCTTCAAACATTTCCAAATCCATTACTTGTTTTATTCTTAAAAATAAAAACGAAGCACATCGCATCCACTCATTTAAGACCACCTATACACAAAGCATCAGCTAAATACATAAAATGAACTAGTACAAGTCCAACTGTGTCATCGAAGATGTGTGTGCCAGACACATAAGTGGAGAAAGAGATAAAAGAGCTATTGTCCAACTGTAGAAACAAAAGAGTAATATGGGGTTCTCTGTTCTCAAATGCATCATGAAGTGTGGGCGTTGAGAAACACAAAAATCCAAAATTAGCCTAACATCAAATCATTTTGGGAAGAGTTGACAACATGTAAATTCCTCACACAAAAGTATTTAGAGCAAGACCTTGATTCCTGAGCTATTATACCACTTATAATTCCTTGTAAGGGCTCTGGGACTCCAGCATTCAGTTAAAATCATGGTCATTGTCATCTATAACTAGGAGGCACTAAGAGGTGCTCCCAATGTGACAACCCCCTGTAACTGAAGTATTACAAAGCTTGCAGTTACGATCTGGGAGGGAGGCTGAACACCAAATTCAAAAACAGATAACCAATGTGCTAAGTGCTATAAAGGAGAGATGGGTGAACACCATGACTTCCATCCAACTGCAGATTATTACAGTGGAAACAGGGGTGCGTGTATGGGTGAGGTTAAGGGGTGGGGTGTTCAAAAACAATACATTTGTCACCCCGTCCCACTTTCGCTAACAGGATAAAAAATGCCAAGCCTCCAGCACCATGACCTCGGGCACAGAGGGCTACGGTGGCCAGCAAAGGTGCACCGGAAGGCCTCAGGTCGGAGCCCCCTTAATTCCAGGGCTGTTAACAATTAAAGCGAAGGGTGGGGGGTGGGGAGGGAAGAGGGCGGAGGGAGCTGGAGACTGACCTCCCGCCTCCCCCTTGGGCTCCTACCTCAGAGCCTTTACTGGGGACCTCAAGGCCGGAGTCTGCACCCACTCCCGGGCAGCTCCGGCCCCCGACCCCGAGACCCCGGGCTGAGGGGTGCCGGCCGTGGGCAGGCAGGGGTAGTAGGTTTAAGTTTTCGGAGCCCAGAGCTGACACGCCACAGGCGCCTCTTCCCAGCCGCTCCTTCCACACCGACCAGTCCGGGCAGAGCGCTCGTTTCCACTCTTCACCATCGTACACCCCCCCGCCCCACTTTCTCGAAGGAATCGAACCCCCGCCCCTTCATCTCCCAACGTTCCCACTTTGCCTCAACTCCCCCCCACACACACACACTCCAAACTCACAGCTGCTCCAGAGGTTCCTCCAGTCAAACCCTTTCTGGAAACGACGGCAGCCTGGCGGGTCCAAACCACCTACCATCCCCGCTCGCGTTTCCAGGCTTCCTACCCCCGCCGCCGCCGCCGCCGCCACCGCCGCCGCCTCCTCTTCCACCACTGCCGCCGCCTCTTCTTCATCTGCGGCCCACCGGCTGCGGCCGCCCCGAGGCCCCGCCCCCTCCATCGCCTCCTGCATCATCACTTCCGGTAACCCCGCCGGCCACCGGCTCCAGGAGGGAGAATGGGAGAGGGGCGGGGAGGGAATGAGTGGCGTGACGTTACGACGTACACGAAGACGTAAGAAGCCGGCGTCAAGTAAGGGCAAAGATGTAGCTTCGGGGTGGGTGAGCCCGAAGAAGCTGGACGGGACCATTTTTAACTGCAAGGGGGGGGGAGGAGGGTAACGAAAGGAGTAAAAGGGAAAATAAGGAGAGGACCCGTTTGGGTATCTATTGTGGGAGGCGGTGAAGAATATGGTAGGATTGGAAACTGAAGGAGACTCTGGGCTATCCTGACCTGGAATTAAGACGTCTGCCCCGGTGGTTTGGTCCGGCCTGGCCTACCGGACCAGCCGGCGGAGCTCGGTCGGCCACCGCTGCGGCGAAGCTCCGGGCGCCGCCTCCTCGCAGCCCTCCGGGGGCTGCCGCGCTGCGGGGTGGGGTAAGGCAGGACTGACGCAGAGTGAGTGAAGGGAGAGAGAAGCCGACTCCCGGCGCGGGGACCGGGAGGGGGGGGAAGGGTTGGCTCCCCGGGGACCGGGATGGGGTGCGGGCGCGGCGTTGCTAGGCGACGCGCCAGTGTGACCCCAGCCTCGCGAGGGCAGCTCGGTGTCATCACCGCCGGCCTCGGGGAAGTGGCCCGTGGGCCGGCGCGGCCTGGTGTGTGGCCCAGGAGCGACTTGTCCGAGCCCCTCGGATCCCTGAACGTAAATGGGAGGTGCTGTGGGGCAGTTTGGGGAGCAGGGGGCTTCTAGCGCGGGCAGAGCGACCTAACTGAACCCCTGCGTGGGCGGGGGGGGGGGGGGGGGGATGCGGGCAGAGACTTTCCAAGACAGCCGGCTTCCCAACTCCCTCCATGAACACACTGAGACCCGGAGGGCACCTTCGCCCCCTCGTCATTCGCGTGCAGAAAGAGTTAACAAGTAAAACAGCAAAGCCATCGGAAGTGAGAGACGCACCCGCTCCAAAAACAAATTAACCAGAAGGCCTGGTGAAGTGATGGGCACCGCACACCGACTGAGCGTGCGCAGGGGAAGCCACTGATCGGAGGGACACGGAAAGAGCTAAGCGGAGGAAAGAGCCCGTGGGCTGGGTATTCAGGTAGGAAACCCAAAGCCACGTGGTTGAAGAAGACCCAAGCCTCCGTGCTCTGTGATAAAAGTTAGAGAAGTGGCAAGAAGGCTTTTGTTGTCACTGCGGGATTTTAAATAAGTTATCTGACCTGATTGCGCTTTTTAAAAACCACACGGGCTACTGAGTGGAAAAGGTTGAGCTGCATTGCAGGAAAGGGGTTGGAGGCCAAGGGAAAGGTGACCATCGTGTTCAAAGGGCAGTCACTATGGAAATTAACAGAATTCTGTTTTGGAGGTTGAGCTTGCAGGATTTGTTGCCAAATTGGATTTGAAGTGGAATTGAATGTGAAACATGTAGGAAATGATGGAGCAAATGACTCACTAAGGGAAAACAGTTCGGGGGGAAAAAAAAAATCTTAGGCTCTTCTTTTGAATGTAATAGTCCACATGGATGTATGTTTAGAAGTTAGACAAATTAGGAAGAAACTTTTGATGGGAAATAATAAATATTGATCTGTTCCTAGAGCATTTAGAAGAATGTGCAGATAACAAGGAGGATCACACCCTGGGACCAGTGACTCACTCCTGTGGTCCTAGCTACTCAGAACAGAAGGCTGATATCTGAGGATCAAGGTTCGAAGCCAGCACTAGAGGGAAAGTTCTAAAAGACACCAAAAAAAAAAAAAAAGTGGGAAGTAGAGCTGTGGCTCAAGTGATAGAGCCTAGCTTTGCACAAAAAAACAAAAAGACTTTAAGGATTGCCCCCAATCCTTGAGTCAAGCCCTAGGACCAGTACAAAAACAAAAAAGAGGAAGGTCCTTTAGAGCTCATAACATTTCAGTGAGAACCCAGAAAAAAAGCAAACAAAGGAGATGTGAACCAGAACTCCAAGAAAACTACCTCCCCTTAAGATCCTGAATAATGGGACTCAAGGTCATACTTAGTGAGACTCATCCTTAAAGGTCACTTGTGTATCTTTTCTCTTCCCCCTCCCAGCTGTCAGTGCTTTGGGGTTTGTGCACAGGTAAATGTGTGTCCACTATAAAAAAAAAATCTGCTTTCTTTGATAAATATTTATTTACATGTCTGTCTTCCCAATGGACTATCTCTTCTTTGTGTCTTCTCAGCTGCTAAGTAGTACTGAGCCTTGCTGGGCAGGAACACAATGTTCATAAAGTATCAGCACTGAATTCAATAGCTTAGGACAAAGAGTTTTTTGTCCCTGCTACTGCTGCTGATACCACACAATACAGTCAGTCACTTAATATATTGGAAATGGTATGAGAAAAAGACTCAGAAGGTCTGGGTTTCCATCTTAGACTGACAGCAGCCTTGGATAAGTCCCTTTTCTTCTAGTTGAAAGGGTTGGCCTAAATTAGAAGTTGCAAATTGGCAAGACAGATGTTGCCTACAAACATATTGCTTGGCCCACAAAGTGATTTTATGTTTATTTGTTTGTTTTTGAAGTCTTACATTTACTTGCCAGCATTTAAAAACTGGCACATCAAAAATCAGATTTGGCTTTATTTGAAAAACCAGACAGTCTGATAGTACTAGCTTAATATTCCTAGAGGTTCTTAAAATTTTTTGTGGGGGGCCCGATCGTGGGGCCTGAACTCTGGGCCTGAGCGCTGTCCCTTAGCTCTTCAGCTCAAGGCTAACACTCTACCACTTGAACCACAGCGCCACTTCTGGCTTTTTTCTTTTGCTTATGTGGTGCTGAGGAATCGAACCCAGAGGGCCTCATGCATACAAGGCAAGCGGTCTACCACTGACCCACCGTCCCAGCCCCTCCTAAAGGTTCTTATGCAACAGCAGTCACCTAGAGCTGAAGAGTTACTTGTCCTTTCCCAGTGGCTTATGCCCTACTGGGATAACCCCAGTGGATATATGATGCCCTTTTTTTTTCAGTTTTTATTTTTTATTTTTATTTGGTGCTAGTCCTGGGGCTTAAACTCAATGCTTAGGAGCTGTCCCTGAGTTTTTCTGCTTAAGGATGGCATTCTACCACTTGAGCCACAGCTCCACTTCCATCTCTTTTGGTAGTTAATTTTCCTGCCCTGGTTGGCTTCAATCTATGATCCTCAGAACTCAGCCTCCTGAGTAACAAGGATTACAAACATGAGCCCCTGGCACCTGTCTAGAGCTAGTCTTGAGGAACTTGAGTGTACTCTTAAGTGCTAATCATTCCCCACATGTAAAAATAGACAGTCATTGATTGCTTCTACTCTCAAGAAAGTCTAGTCAGGAGCTCCAGTGCCTCTGCATAGATTGCCTCTATCATTTGGTAATATTCCAGTGTTCTGAAGATGTGGCCCCTTGCTCAGAGTACATAGTTGGATGCTACCAGAGCTCTAACTCTGGCTCATATTGCCAAAGACCTTTTATAGTTTCCTAATCCATGTTCTTAGAAGATCATTACAAAGCATGAGTTTAAATTGGTGTTTTGGCTCGCTCTTGTTGAAGATCCTGGCAGGATGTCATGAATGACTGATCTCTAGCCATTTGCCTCTTTTCATCTCTTCTCCTACATCTTTTTTTGGGGGGGTTGGGGGGGAGGGTCCAGTCATGGGGCCTAAACTCTGGGCCTGGGCACTGTCCCTCAGCTCTTCAGCTCAAGGCTAGAGCTCTACCACTTGAGCCACAGCGCCACTTCCGGCTTTTTTTCTTTTTGCTTATGTGGGTGCTGAGGAATCGAACCCAGGGCCTCATGCATGCAAGGCAAGCACTCTACCACTGAGCCACCTTCCCATCCCTTCCTACATCTTTTTTTAAAATATATTTTTATTGTGAAAATACTGTACAGAGGGGTTACAATTACATGGGTAAGATAATGAGCACATTTCTTATCAATCATTGTAGCCTCCTGCTTTGTTTCCCCTTCCCATCCCTTCATATCCTCCCCTCCCCCCCCCCCGTCCCCCCCACGAAAGTTGTACAGTTCGTTTTTCAACATAACGACTTGTACATCTCATTGTTGCAATGGGTCCTCCTATATCCCTGCTTTAACAATTTGTTTTTTCCCTTCCCCTCCACATATACCAACATCATATATAGTGAAAGCAGGGCTTGTACCATCCTTCCTACATCTTTTATAATGCCTACTTCCTCTGATTGATTCTTGTCTTTGTTTCTTGAAGTATACTACTAAGGAAATATGTTTACATTCTTTTAAATTGAGGGAACATAGCTTGATTTCTATTTAGGATTATTTCTGTCCCTGAGTTGAAAAATAGCTTTATATCTATTGGCTTATATGGGCTAAAATAATCTGATTGAGATTCCTCCTATACAAGGATAATCTTGTGTGTGCTCCAGTACCGATAAATAATACACAAATGGTTTCCAATGTAATTATTTGACTCATGATTTCTCAATTTTACAATGATGTGAAGATGATATCCATTCACTAGAATGGAATACATGGAATTTTCATTTTTTCCTAAGCTGGAAATAAGTAATGCAGTACTTTGTCCTAGAGCTAGCCAACAGCCACAAGACACAACATGAGAGCGAACAACCAAGACTATGGTGTTTGGTAGGTTATGTATATTAAATACTTTTTCTACTGAAGATGTTTTCAATATATGTAGTAGAACATCTGTCTAGCAAGTGCAATGCCCTGAGTTCAAATCCTCCTCTCACCAAAGAAGAAAAATGTTTTCAACTTGAAAAGGGGGGAAACTGGGCATTGGTGACTCACATAATCCTGTAATCCTAGTTACTCAGGAGGCTGAGATCTGAGAATCACAGTTCAAAGCTTGCCTGGGCAAGTCCATGAGATTCTTATCTCCAATTAACCACCAGAAAACTAGAAGTGGCTCTATGGCCCAAAGTGGTAGAGTGCTAGTCTTAAGCAAAGAACTCAGGGCAGTGGCCAGGTACTGAGTTTAAGCCCCACAACTAACTAAAGAAAAAAAAGGAGTTGGGGAGACCTGTACCAGTGCAAGTTGCTAATATATCTGTATTTAGAGTGAGTTTTATCTCCTATGATCTTTTTTGGGAATACTTTCTATAAAAGTTTTTCAGGTATTGATATTTTGATTTTGTCCCTCTTTCTGAAAGTTTCTCCTATTACAGGGTCTGGCCCAATTTCATTTCCCTGAAAAAAAAAATACTATTCTCTTTGTACACCATATTGTTGTTCCTTTTTGTGTTAAAAAGATGCTGTTCCAAGATGGGTGCCAGTAGCTCACACCTATAATCCTGTTACTCAGGAGGCTGAGTTCTGAGGATCAAGGACCCAGCTTGGGCAGAAAAGTCCATTAGAATGTTATCTCCAATTAAGCACCAGAAAAGGCAGAAGTAGAGCTGTGGTTCAAGTGATAGAATGCTAGCTAGCCTTGAGTAAAAAAGCTCAGGGACAGTGCCCAAGCCCTGAGTTCAAGCCCCAGGACTGGTACCAAAAAGGAAGATACTGTTTCAGATAAAAGCTATCGTATGATTAAGTATACCTCATGATATGCACAACCTGAGATTTGCAAAACTGTATGCCATCAACACTAATAATCTAAGACTGGAAACAAGTCCATGGTGTGTGTCTGTGTGTGTGTGTGTGTGTGTGTGTGTGTGTGTGTGTGTGTGTGTGTACATACATATGCATATGTACCTCAGTCTGAGTCTTGATGACAGGAGGGAAGGATAGGGAATCAGGGATATATGGAGCATAGTTTGCTTGGAAGGTTATTTGATTACTTACGATATTGATGACAATATCATATGCCAAATACAAGTATATATACAAGTATAATCTAGGAGAAAGGCATACTGAAAAATAAACAAGAAGAGATTAAAAAATGTAAAATAGGGGGCTGGGAAGGTGGCTCAGTGGTAGAGCGCTTGCCTTGCATGCCTGAGGCCCTGGGTTCGATTCCTCAGCACCACATAAGCAAAAAGAAAAAAGCCGGAAGTGGCGCTGTGGCTCAAGTGGTAGAGCGCTAGCCTTGAGCTGAAGAGTTGAGGGACAGTGCCCAAGCCCAGAGTTCAGGCCCCACGACCAGACCCCCTCCAAAAAAATTGTAAAATAGA